GTTTGAGGAAAATGGAGGAGAGCACTGGAGACGGTAGCCCCGGCCGGCAGGCTAGCAGGCGGCGGCAGGCGGCGCCTCCGAAAGCGAGAGTTCGATTTACACGAAGAGGCGTCGTCGCGCCGGTCGGCCGGCAGGCGTGTGGCCCACTTATGACCAGCCCGACCAGCTCGGACTCACCACGGACAGCGAGGCGTCCTCCAGCACCTCCCGCGGCGTGTGCGCGTACTTGTCGGCGGGGGCCGCTGCCGCCGCAGCGGGGGCGGCGGTGCTGGGGGCAGCATCGGTGGCGGCGGCGGCGGCGGCGACATCATCGGCGGCGGCGAGTCCGGGGGCGGCGCTGGGCAGGGCGGGGGCCAGGATGGTGGAGGGCGAGGGCCGCGTGGCGCACGAGTACTGGCACAGCAGCAGCAGCAGCGCCGGCAGCAGCACCGGCACCCAAGACACGTCGCTCTCCATCATCTTCCTGCGCAACATCAACAAGCAAGACATCTCAGCACACACTCACACGCATTGATGAAAAATAACGCGGTCTTAGTTTTCTCCGCTCCGGGCAGATGATGGGCACCACGAGGAGAGATGGGCAACGAAACTGAAAAGAGAAGAAAAGGAAAGGGCCTCGGTCGCGGCGCGCGAGAAGCTCGACGCTCTGTGAGTGGCGGGGAGTGGCGAGGGTTTCGGACAACAAGGATGCTCGCCGACCACAACACCGTTGTGCTGTGGCCACAACACGTTTCGTTGTCTATCAACGGTCTTCCGACCACGCGGCCCCCGCGGCCCAGCGGCTAGCCCCGCCAGCCCGCCATCTCGTTTCACTTCATGTTTATTTCGGTTGTCGTAATTAGCGCAACGGGGGCTGACGCCGTGCTGACACCGTGCCGACGAGGTGCTGCCGCCGTGCCGACGCCCCGCCGAAACCGTGCCGACGCTGTACCGACGCCGTACCGACGCCTTACGGACGCCGTGCCAACGCCGAGCAAACGCCATGCTGTCGGTGTGCCCCAGGTCAGGGTGCGCCGGCCGACTCACCGGCGCCGCCCTGGTTTTCGGTTTTGGGACGCCCGGAGCACATTGTGGACAGTGCAGTCGGTGCAGCAGGGAGCGCGGAGGGGGCGATAAAACGCGAACTTGGCCATAATTTAAAGAAGGAACGAACGAACGCCGAACGGGTCGGCCCCTCGGCTCCGGGGCCCCTCCGGGCCGCTCCGGGCCGCTCCAGCCCGGGTGTCGATGACCTATATATCTGCCGAGTGCCATGCTCGGGCCTGCCCGCCTGCCAGCTCGGCCCGCGCCGGCCGCGCCGTGGCCTGCTGGCCAGCGCCTGGCCCGGCTCGCCACTGGACAGGAATTCCAGGCGAGATGATCTCCACCGTGCTCGAGGGCGCGGATGGTCCAGGAGGGACTCTGAAGGGCCTCTGGGAGGACTCAGGAGCACACTAAAGGCGCTGAACCAGCTCATCACAGACGGACCTGGAGTCGCTCTGCCAAACGGGCGTGGGCCCTTCTAGGGGCACGAAGGTAGGGAGTAGGTAGGTCACCCAAGTGAGCTGAAGAGGTCCTGTAAAGGGCTGAGGGATGAGGGCGGTGGGGGTAAAAGGGGGGGGGCGGTCTGCGCCCGTGCTTGGCTGCATGACGTCACTCTGGCACGGCGCATCGGTTGAACGGTATTGTGTCGACTCGGCACGGCGGCCGGCCGGCCTCTCCGAGGCGCTTGGGACCGCTGAGGACGACTACAGTCGGGTGAGGTGGGGCGGGGCGGGGCGGTCAGCGGGTGTGTGCGCGACGTCGGCCCGGCTGGGCGCGAGTCGAGTCGAACGGATTCCAAGGCGCGCCCGCGCGACCCAAACAAAGCGGGGCGGGTCG